CCGTCAGAATTGCATGCAGTTGTGAGTGTCCACGTTATGACCTGATATGAAACCAGAGTGGCGGCTCGTTATCAACACCATCAACACCATCAAACATCATTAATGTTTGATGGTGTTGATAGCAGCTGCATCAGCTGTTCAATGTGTGCCTATTAAGGAATGTGTGACACATGCAACCCGAACCCCTTCTTATTAGTGCACGGTGTGATTATATACTTGGAGGTAAACCACGGCTGTGTATTTAGAATGTTTACCGTATGGACGAAGAGAAAACGCGAAAAAGGTTTGGATGCGTTAATGACACATTGTGACTGATTTCAGTGTCATATCTGGTTTTGCGTCAGCATCTGACCTGGATCTCCAACACGGCTTAACACGCGAACGGGTGGCTGATTGGATACCCTTCGCTCAGGTGGGGGTCAATTTCCCCCCCCCCAACAGATCTCAGAAACTAGGAGAGCTAGATATACCAAATTCACAGGGTGTGCTGATCTGTACGTGAGCTCACTTAGGTCCAAGTTTGGGATTCCTAGGTCATGATTTTCGGGTTAAATAATGTCAAACAAGGTCAAATGCCAGGTTAGTCCCCAAAGAGCCACTAAAACCTAGATAACCGTTCTAAGTAAAAGGTCACATGCTCGTTTAAGGTCAGTGACCTTGTTTGGCCTTTTTAAGGCCATGGTGACCAAAATCATACAAGACTGCTTTGAGTTTTGCATTTGAGTAAGCGACAAAGATTACGCTAGGCAGTATGCTACTAAAAACAAAATGTTGACATGGGTCATTTTAGTTCAGCGACCTATTTTGATCTCTAGGAATGGTCAGAAATTTGACCTTAAGGTCCATGAAAGGTGTATAATTCGGTTTCTGTTATCAAAAAATTCGGAATATTCACCAGAACCTACCCCATACAGTAATAACGGTAATAAAACAGGCCGGGTTTGACCTTGATCTGACCTTCATTTCTGACCCAGATTAACGGTGATTTCTTTATTAAAAGGCTTTGCCGATCGAGAAGGATTGTTGTTCGTGGAACCTGAGCTGTAGCTCCCGAGGTAAATGGTGGACGTTGGAGCGACATATGTCAAAGATTCATCCGAGGCTCTCTGCTGCTGAGAGTAACAGCGGCTTTGAGGTAAGAGACTGAGCACCACTGTTGTGGGCCTCTCACATTGCCAGTTGTACCTCTGGCTTAGCGTACTGATGGTTGGATAAAACGTGTTTTTGTTTTCATCATTTTAAAAAGCGCCACTTCGGCTCAGTTGCTCCTAGTCCAGCAAGAGACTTCCCTGCAGGGGGATGCCAGAACGTTCAAAACGGCACACAAATGATACTTGGGCACGCGTGTCGCCATGTAGGGGCGACGCTTGTCGCCCCTGCATGGCGACATGTGTCGACCACTCTATGGCACTGGGGATTGAAGATGCCACTGTACAAGCAGTTTCGTTAGCTGCCGGCCGGCCGGTCGAATATTGTCAAGTCCAACAACGGACCTCTCGGCAAATTACGTGCAAAACCACCGAAACCTTAACGAACGTAGCACCTGTGCATGTGTGGTTAAATAACAGCTGTAACGACCGTCTCATCGTTTTCAGGCCCATTCTCACGGTTTAGGAGGCGCCGCTTCGGCTATCATGACATGAGAGGTCGACACATGTCGCCATGTGTCATACCCGTGCACAAGTGTCATTTGTGTGCCGTTGGGAACGTTCTGGCATCCCGCCTGCGGGGAGGTCCCTTACTGGACTGGGAGCGACCGAGCCGAACTGGCGCTTCGTAAACCATGGGAATGGATCCGAAAGCGATGAGACGGTCGTTACAGCTCCGCTGTACGATCACACATGCACACGTACTACGTTTGCCCGAGACTGGGTGGTCTAAGTTGCCGGGAGCTCCGTTTTTGGACATCCAGTAATCGGCCGGCCGGGTGTCAGCCGCCTGCTCGGGTGCACCTTGCCGCTGAATCGCCACTTGGTGGTAGACATCGCGAAAAATGTCCCATGGGGGACCGGGCCCTCAGTTGTGCACCGGTAATGATTAGGCGAAGATAGGCAAGGTCGCTTACGCGCTCAGCTGATTGTATGATGACGTCATAAAACCAATTGTGAAATTTTTTTTGTCGGATGCTCGTAGAACCATGTTATCGGTAAATATAGGGCTGCAGGGATGCAGTTTTGCAAAATATGTAAGGTGAAGGGATTGAGGGTGGGGTGTGGGGCCAAACCTCAAGATTGCGATTAATGAAGAATAATGCTTAAAAATATGGAACTACATCCATAGTTAGGAGGCACAATTCCCTCTCCTATCTGAATAGAAAACTACACGCCTCCAAGCTGGTTATGTCTGTATTTGATGATTTTATAAGTTAAGCTTCAACCATCATTCAGTGCTTGATAGCCAGCAACTGATTCTTGAGTGCAGATTGACTCCGGAAACAAAAATGTTCGATGGTTGTGCCGCATTGCATTAGATTAGTTTTGTTTCATGGTTTACTACATTTAGAGCTATATTGCAACGGTTTCTGAAATATTTGGCTCCAGGTGACAATTTGAACAGTTCCAGCTGTGGTTGGTGACAGAAAAGACACTTTTCTCACCCCTGCAGATCAGGGAGCTCTAAATAATTTTATTATTTTCGCAAAATTGGGAGCCATTTTTGGCTGATGTACATCTACACATGCTGCATAAGCGAGGTTGTAAGCATATGTCATGTGTGCTGCCTCTTTAACTTTTCTTAGCGACATCAGTGACTTCCCGACGGGGTGCTGTTTCATCCGCCGCGAGTGACCGCCGCAGTCCGCCTCACAGACAGGCCACTGACCAGTTGACCACCGACCACCAAACACACAGGCCACCGATCACCAGACACACAGGCCGCCGATCACCAGACACACAGACCACCGACGGGCTCCGGGGTGACCGACGCAGTCTGCCTCCCGGACTCCAGCGCTGACCCGAGCCTCACGGCAGACCGTCGGTTCAACGTCACGGACCGCCTGCCGGCCGGGCGCGTCATCTCGCGGGCGTGCCGGCTTAGCCCCCCCCCCCCCCCCCCCCCCCGGTGCCCACCTCAATCCATGCTGCATTGACGGGCACGCAGCAGGCTAACCCGCGCTGCGGGATGCACGCGAGCTCGGCGACCTCACCGCTCGACGCGCAGCTCGGGCCTTCGGAGGGGCGCGCCTCGTGGGAGACTCCCTTCACAGTGATCACGTGATGATCACGTGATCACGAGCATGACTCAGCGTTGGTGAGCTGGCTTACTGGCGTCCCTCGATGAGCCACGCTTTATGGGACCCTCTCGTCGCATGCGCAGCCAAAAGGTCGTCGATTAGCGCAGCGGCCTTGAGGCGGCGCGGGCGGCCCGTTCCGGTGTGCCGTCTCGCGGCTGAGACGATCCCTTGAGGCGGCGCGGGCGGCCCGTTCCGGTGTGCCGTCTCGCGGCTGAGACGATCCCCCGCCAAGGCCGCCCCTGAGAAGGCAGCATCTCCGGGTGTGCGCGTCGTGACCGCTGGACCGGTGCCGGCTGGCGACACCCCCACAGACCGACCTACTTGGCGGCGGAGGGGCAGGCCGCTTAACGTGCCATCTGGTGGGAATGTCGGGGGAGGGGAAGGGGTCGGCATGAAGGTCACCGAGTGGGCTCTTTTTTGGAGAAGAAGAGTCTCAGAATATTTGGTGCTGTGAGCCAGCCACTAAAGGTAGTGGCTGCATATGTGAGTGCTGTGGAGGATGTTTGCCAGCTCGCGCAGTTCGTGTGGGGGTGTTCGTTAGTGAATGGAAGGCATTTTCTTTAAGCACGTTTTTGGTCTGTAACTGCTTGCTGTCATCTGCTTTCGTAGTACGAGCAGCGTCTCTGCACTGTTTTAGCCCGTCCGCCTGCACCATCATTGTGCACATGGTCTCGCTCATGCTTCTGTACCGATTTTATCAATGTGCTCAACTCACACAGGGGAGACAAGGTGCCATGGCAGCCTGGCGAATACGGAATGCATGGCGAATGGGAGCCAGGCTTTAATCTGGAACCGAGCCAGCCGTTCGCGGCCGGGTGGGTGACAGCCCTAGTCTGACTTTGTCGCGAACGACCTTCGCCACAGCCCAGCCTCTCACAGCGCTCATCGCACGCGTGACCTGGCTGAAGGACCTTCGCCACAGCCCAGTCTCTCACAGCGCTCATCGCACGCGTGACCTAGCTGTAGGACCTTCGCCACAGCCCAGCTTCTCACAGCCCTTATCGCACGCGTGACCTGGCTGTAGGACCTTCGCCACAGCCCAGCCTCTCACAGCGTTTATCGCACGCGTGACCTGGCTGTAGGACCTTCGCCACAGCCCAGCCTCTCACAGCGCTCACCGCACGCGTGACCTGGCTGTAGGACCTTCGCCACAGCCCAGCCTCTCACAGCGCTCATCGCACGCATGACCTGACTGTAGGAGACGCGGCTGTGGGAGTTTGCCTGCCGCGACACAGTGAGTTGTTGGAAGCTGAGCATGTAGGACCGTCTGTCTCCTCACTGTGCGGCCCGCTGTCAAGCCACCGACTGACGTGAAGCGTCGCATTCTGCCGCCGCTGACCTGCAGCGTCAGCTGACAGCCATGGCCGTGGCGGCGACTGTGGTCGCTGGTGACCACTAGCTGCTGGTCAGGGCTCGCGTCCGAGCCCGGAATGTGACCAGTGACCGCAGCGGAGACCGTGGTCGCTGGTCAGGGCTCGCGTCCGAGCCCGGAATGTGACCAGTGACCGCAGCGGAGACCGTGGTCGCTGGTCAGGGCTCGCGTCCGAGCCCGGGCCGTGACCAGTGACCGCAACGGAGACCGTGGTCGCTGGTCAGGGCTTGCGTCCGAGCCCGGGACGTGACCCGCGTCATGCCGCACTCGCGATTGGCAGCGCTTACATAACGGCGGCGTCGTGGAGGGCACCACAAGCCTTACCATCGTTGTAGAACCCTGGCCCTTTCTTGCACGTCGACAGCAGTGTCCGACGCGTGGGCGTAAAACGGAATCCATGTTGTGAAAATGTATTTGAAAATGATTATCATCGACACAGCACACCGCGAACAACGTTTCGCAACGTGCGGCTAGTCAGCACCGCGCGCGGCCGCTCGCCGCATGACTCGGCGGCAGCACGTTGACAAATTTCAACACCGCATAGGGCGAATTTGGGGCGCCCGACTTTGCTCTGTCCCAGGTCAGGGCTACGCGGCGGTGACCGCCGTTTGGTCACCAGTCGACCTTTGTGCTGTGCAGATCAGAGTCGTACTGCGCCCTCACAGAAGACGCAGCCGGCCAGCCTTCCTGTGATTTGGAATTTTCCTCACTCCGCACCCGGGCGTGGAGTCGCTCGGGGCAACGCTGCCAATGCCAATAGAGGGCTTCAAACGGAAAACAGTATCACAGCGCCTCATACGAGCCTCGCCCATTCGCCCGGGTCGCGGGGTGTGCTCGTGACGCCGCCTTCCCGGCCTTCCCGCGGACCGCAGCAGCGGCGGCGCTGGGCGGGGTGGAGCCAACGCCTGACAGCACTGCCGCGGCGCAGCGTCGGGCACACGCCCGCGCGCTCGACACCAGCGCCCGCGAACGCGGGCCACGCCGACGTGGGTGGCGCAGCGCTCCTCCCACGACCGCAGCTCAGAGACACGCCCGTCACAGCACTCACACCACACACGCACCCCCACATGCACTCACACGCACACGCACTCAAAGGCACACGGCTACAACGACCGCCTAGAGCGACGCGCGCCGTCGGCGGCGGGCGCTGCTCAGTTCTGGCGGGCCAGCTTCGACAGGTTCTGGGCGAAGTTGTGCAGCATCCGGTGCCAGAGCTGCGGGTTGTCCAGGTAGGCGGCGTGGCCGGCGTTCGGGATCACGCCCACCGTTGACGTGCGAATCTGGCCGAGCGCCTTCAGCGACGCCTCACCCAGCCCGCGGTCGCGGGAGCCGTAGATGATGGCCGTCGGCACCTGGCGACGAACGGCGCAACCGTCACGAGGAGGCCGCTGCTAGAGAGGCCCTGGGGCGTCTCGAGGTCGCAATGAAGGGACGATGGACGCCTTATGGCAAGGGGAGCAGTCGAGGGAGGTCTCAGGAACGGCCATGATGATGTCCCGCTTCCATGTTCACGAGATAGGGCGCTTTCGTAAGACGATGACTCGATGGCGATATGGGCCTTGCATTACTGCTCTCAGTCGATGACCCAAAAATCCCATGTCATCCTCATCACGGCGCCGAAGAGGCGAGACAACTTTCATAGAATGGCATACCAAGAATTGGTCAAAGAACTTGCAACTTTTCATTCCATGATGAGCCATGCAATGGCTGTTTTTTTAATTGGACAGACTTATCATACTTATCACTGGGTGACACCGTATCGCCGCAAATGGGCAACAGGAAGGCCAATGTTTCGAAAACCGGTAGCACAAAGTAACGGTAAATCACGTTTCAAAATCATTGCACAGCATCAGCGCTCTTCTTAGAAGATGTCATCTGTAATCGGGAACCTTTACCCATACGACTCATCTACACGATGTACGGCATAAGAAAGGCATCACATGAGGCAGGAGAAATCGCGATTGAAAAACAAGTACAAATGAAGACGTGCTGGCAATATAAACATGAATACAGTTCATCCAATAGAATTGCATGATATCGTGCAAACGTACCGTCGCCACACCCTTGCAGAGGTGTGCTCCAGGAAAAGGAGGCGGGCCGCGGTACGAAAAACGGAGGCGGCGTAGTACGTAACGCAACTACGAATTGCACGCACGCACACTTACGACGGGAGAAAACAGAACCATAACGTGTTGGGGGACGGTGCTGAATCGTAAGTAGAAAAAGACACGAGCTGTGATGCTGAGCCCGCTCAGTTTTGAGCCCGATCTGAGACCGCAGACTCCCGACACATTGGGTGACCCCATCATTCCCATAAGCTGATGTTCAGACGGCTCGGGTCACTGGACGAGCGGCGGATTGACAGGGATTACGGCGCGGCGCCGTCAGTCAGGCCGCGGTCGTGTCATTACACTGCAGAGCAACGCGCGTCACGCTCTTGACACGCCGCACTTCGCCGCCGGCTGTCAGACACGCCCCGCTGGAAACGTGACGCTGTAATCATATGGTGGCGATCAGGCCCCACACCTCTCAATCACCTGAGCAAAACCGCGCGTAACCCTTGGAACTGCGTGAGCAATGACAAAAACCGTAATCCCGCGAGATGAAGCCATTGCGCAAGGTCTCAATTACCCCAGACGGCCGGTCTGCGGACTGTTGGCGGCGTGGCAGCTAAGCTCGCCCGAGGCCGCGTTTTAATTACAAATCCGCCGCACGCCGACCGGTCCAGTGTACAGTGAGACACGTAATCTGCGGCCCGTTAGCGACGCGGCGTTCAGCGAACGAAAGCCGCGCGCTGTCGCCGGCGACGGCCCGGTACCCCGCCTGAGCCGGCGAGCACGGCTCAGGCAGCGGTCAGCCATCACCGTGGCCGCGTGAAGCCCCCAGACCGCACGGTCGCCGCCTTCTAGGAACGGGCCGCCAGCAGCATTCTCGGCGGCGGTGGCGGCTCGGGGGCCGGCCGCGGCCTGCGGTGGAGCGTGACTGGGGAGGCCTCTCGGCCGGACCGCGGGGCGGCAGCCTTACCGCCTACCAGGGCACGCTGACCACCACAGCGTCCCGGGAGAAAGGGATCACCGTGCCAGCTGGGGGTGCGCAGGTTACCCGAGGCAGAGGGAACCGCCGCGGCAGCTCGCAGAAACGGAACACCACCACGCCCACTCGCCAGGATAACAGCATCAGGGCTCATGAAACCGCTATAGAAGTACGCAGCTCAGGAGAACGCCAGAACGCCCGTCCCGGTGACAAAAATGCCGGCTCCGACTGGAGGTAAGTACAGCTATGCACATAAGTCAGGTACTTTGAAGTGTTCTTTTGGCATGCCGAGCAACATGATGCACACAGTACCGGGCCGGCCTTGTTCTGATTCAGCATGATGCAACACTGGGACGACGTTAAAACCTAGAACGTGCTCAACCGAAGCGTGATGGATTAGCTTTAAGAGTGAAAGGACTGAGTTTGCGTCCATTTGGTGTTACATAGCAGAAGCAAAAATACATCTCTGGTCTGAAGGCAAGTCATGGCCATCCTCACCACTCCGCAGCTCTCGAGCATCATTTTTGCGTACCAGGTCAATTAGATGAACAAAAATGCAACGTATATGCTACTGCAAATCGATGAATATTCATATGACGACGACGAAAAATTGAAAGACAAGCAGACAGGACAGGATAATACTTGGCGTCAATTTTTAGTAGTAGTGAAGTGTGTTGCGACTTTTAGATGGTCCGATTCCAAACTGCAGTAAAAGATAGTCTGTTACTGAACTAAGGAATAGAATCGCAAACTGTAACTCTAGAATGGCGACTCTCTAGAAAAGAACGCATTTTAACTTCCCTACCCCGTGCACATGAGTGACATGAAACCGGGCGCACCAGCAGCAGTACCAGGAGCTAGCCAGCATCGCACCACAGACACGCGCCCCTCCCAGTTGGTCCCTCACAGGCAATGTCGTGCGTCCTGTTACCCAGCGTCACCGTGGCCGGCCTGGGGTGGGGGTGGCGGGGACAAAGAGGCACGGCCGGAATCCCTGGACCCGTCCTGACGGCATACTGCACCACGTCAAGGTCAGGCGCCTCCGGTCTGGACGGCAGCTTAGTGGTTGCCTGGAGACGGGGAGCCGTTATGCCGCAGCACAGCCGCTCCCACGCAGGCGAAGCGTGACGCACGACCTATCCAACCACCCATCAGCCAGCTGGCTCACTCATATCGATATGCGTTGATGCAATGTTGGTCGTTAAATTTAGCAGTGAGCCCCTGTCCTGGTGCTTCTAAGCCGGCATCAGCTTGTGAATGTCCTAGATCGACGGGTTTTCCAGATAAGAGCACTGGGTCGCACACATTGCTGTTCATCGCAGCCCCTGCAGTATAGTGGCTAAAACACTCGGCTCGGCGCTGAGTTGACGGCAATATAGGACTGTCCGGCTGGGACAAAGTTACCCGATAGTTCGTGCCTCTGCGGTGGTTGCGCAACCGGCTCGCCACATACGAAGGCCGCGCCAATTCCTATGGTTGGCAAGCACTCCCGATTCAAACGTCAATCGAACAGACGACTTGGAACAAAGAGCATAAGATCATGTGGCGTACCTTTTTAACCGGGGTAGCTGCATGAAGTTGGCGTTACGAGGAGGCAATCAAACTGTAACGTTCCGTGGGAGCGCATTGCAATAGAGCCCACATACAACGGTTGGTCATAGAGGAATAGGAATGTAGCGAAGGAAGAATCTAATCTCAGAGATGTGCACATTGCACAAGTTGCTACCGTGTCGCAACTTTGATGTGAAGCAACGGAGGCATGACGATTCCGCTCACAGAATACCATCAGCTCATCTGGAGCGAATTCCACCAAAGCACTTCCGCAATTACATTTTTGCTGCCCGAGTGTGCAAGTGCCCGATTTTGCAAAAAATTGCCAGACCTGCCGCGATAATCGCATCTTCATCCCAATGTCGCTAATGTTGCTCCTGGCAACCTCACCTCCAATGTCTGGGAGCAATTAAGCGACGTCGAGGCCGGCCAGGATGCAACCAATATGCCATGTCACGTTATCAACCGGGGCTGCCAAAGAGCCATCTCTGACATGCCAACCATGAGTACGCGAGTGACCATAGAACCCGGACAAGTCAGTCCCCTTACACCAGGGAATGTTCTGAGCCACGTCCGCATTGCGCCAACGTCCCCGACCGTTGCCGCTGTCCGACAGCCCCGCTTTATGCCGAGTAAGCCTACCCCTTCCAGGACCTTCAGGGTGGTTCACTGGAAATGTCAAGTAGATAAGACATTAGTATTAGGCTTATTACTCGGAGAAAAACCAGGAGAATGGAGATATAGTTGGGTTGATATTTGGGCAGCATGACTTTATCGAAACAAAAGCAGATGTTTGGCTGTCTTAATCGAAACAATACCAGAAGTTTGCCTCGATAAAAGTATGTTGCCAAAATATCGACCCAACTACATCTCCATTCTCCCAGTTTTTTTTTCTCCGAGGAATAAGGCAAATACTGCTGTCTTATCTATGTAAATAATGCTCCTTGCTAATGCACTGAACAATCTACGGAAATGCTAAGTTTAAAAGTGCAAGTAATCACAATAAAAATCGGTCAAGCACGCGCTACTAGGCAAGCACTGTTAATAACTTTTGGACAATCACATTAGTGTCTTTCACGTATAAATGCGTTGGTGCTCTGGGGGCTGTCGTGGAGCCATTTTGCTAGGCGGATGAGCACTGGGCATAAAAACCAAAATGACCAAATGTTACACATCTGCAATTAAATGAAGTATGTTAAAGATGCAATGCCTAGACGGCTGGAGCAGGGTCGCCCGTCCTCGGTCCGGCCGGCCCCGTCCGTCGGCCCTCCTTACCCGAATGCTGCGCGCCTTCACCGCACTGAGCTTCTCGGTGCCGACGGGCGCGACGGGCACGTAGCCGGCGAGCCAGGACGGCTGGCGCATGAGCAGCGGCACGGAGAACTCGCCGGAGAGTGAAGGCGACACCAGGATCACCTGCTCGCCCAGGCCCAGCTCGTAGCGTACCGACTCGAGGAAGTCGGCCTGGCTCAGGCCGCCCGGCAGCCGGCCGCGCGTCGCCGAGTTGGAAAAGCCTGCAACGGGGGAGCTATCAGGGAGCGAGACAGCAGCAGCATCACGCAGAAACCTGGGTCGGGGAGATGAGTCGGGAGGCGGGCGGGAGAGACCTGCGTCGAAGCGCCAAGCCAGAGAGTGCAGACACCGTGCAGCAGTGGGACACTTTTGAGAAGCCTCCAGCAGAGAGACATGCTGATAGGTCCAGAGTGGCGGGCTCTGGAGAAGCCTTCAACGGAACAATGTATCAAAAGAAGGGGCGGATGGCATGGAGGGGGAGGGGGGGGGGGCAGTGTCAGCTAGAGGAGAAATGTTCGGGTAGAAGACGGTAAAACAGAGCAAGTCCGTTGCGACTGCATCCGACGAGGGCAGCTGAGGCGGGACCACACATCCACCCTAAGCGCCAGGGCTGGTGCCGGTCTGCGTCAGAGCGGCAGTACGTTCGGGAGCCTCAGTCCCGCCATCCTTCCGCGCGTGGCGACCGCCTGGAGCGGCGCGAGGTTACTGCGGAGCCTCGTAAGACCACCGTAGCCGGCGGCACGGTGGGAAGGGAGGGGAAGCGGCGTTGGATCTCGTGCCGAAGCCGTCACCACCCGCCGGCCTGGTTGCCGCGGTAGCGCCGTTTTTCAAATTGGTCGACCTCGACCCGCGCGAAAAACGGCGCTCGGCAGACGTCTGAGGCGCCGCGCGCGCGCGCGAGCACGCGACTCATCGCCGTGACCCCCTCACAGTGGCGCCACTGACGGAGACGTTATGGCGGGAGCCGTGTGACGCGCAGAGCACCTAATCAGCCAGCCTCGGCCGTGGCCAGACAACCAGCCGTGGGACATGCGAACCAGGCGCATTATGTGCAGACAGTGAACACGCCCCAGGAAATGCCTACAGCATCAAATGCACGGCAGCACCAACTTTCTACACCGTGAAACAAAATAAAAATGGGACACTGGGTCTCAAGCGGCAAGGACCGTGAGCGAGTCGACAGCCCCGTCTGTCATCTGCTTGCGGAGCCGCTGATGACGTCCGATGACGCCCGATGACGACGTACCGGCCCCGGGGAGGTCGATGGCGACGGCGTTGTAGCCGAGGGCGGCCAGCGTGCGCAGGGTCTTGATGCTCTGCCACGTTTCCGAGGAGTACTTGGAGCCGTGCAACAGCAGGAAGGTGATGTCGTCCGCGCTCGACTCGTCCGGCAGCGAGGCCGCGTAAAACACGTCAATGCCCTGACAAAGGTCAGTCAAGATCAGGAATGGGGCCAGCACCGCAGATCGGTTTCAACAATATCTCGAGTTCGCCACTCGGACGATACTTGAACACGCGCTCGGGTGGGGGGAATCAAACTGACCCCCCTGAAGGTTTTTCCAGAATGGTTTCCGAATGGCGCGGCGTAGCCGCGCCAAATTTTGATTGGTTGTAGACAGTTGAATAGCGGATCGTTTGAAATACAAAATTTAGATGTCCCTTGTAAGGTCGCTGACCTATGGCAGGCCAGTCAGACCATGGTTTCAGCGAAGACAATTTCTCGGGAATCGTTCAATCCGATACAATAACGGAGTGTTTGACGAAGCCATACACCTCTGAGATGCTTTCTTAGGCACTACAAATATTGAATGAGCAAATTACGCTGACCCAAGGTGAGGTATGAAGGTCAGACCGGGGTCAAAAACCAGCCTGATTTATTACTCTAGGGCTTGCTGTTTGGGATAGTTCGTGGTGCTCATTTCGGATATTTTGACAGCAGTAACCGCATTATACACCTTCCATTGACTTCTTAGAGGTCAGAACAGGTCATTGACCTAAGATGACCCGGGCCGCACTCTGTTTATGAACATACTACCTAGCGTAATTTTTGTCGCTTATTCAAATGCAAAACTCAGAGTAGTCTTGTATGATTTTGGTCACCATGACCTCCAAAAGGTCAAACAAGGTCGTTGACCTCAAATGGGCTTGTGAACCTTTTGCTTAGAAACAGTTGCCTAGGTTCTGGGGGCACTTTCGAGACCAACCTGGAATTTGACCTTGTTTGACGTTATATGACCTGAAGGTCACGACCTAGGAGGCTCAAACTTTCACCTAAGTGAGTTCACGTATAGGTCAAAACACCCGGTAAATTTGGTGTTTGTAGCTTTCTTAGTTTCCGAGATATCAGGGGGGTCAAATTGACTCCCACCCGAGCGAAGGGTACCTAGCCGACCACCCGGGCGCGTGTTGGGGTAGCATACAGCTCTCGATACTTTGTATGACTTTTTGCAGATGCATACGCAGGTGGGAGGGTCACAGGCGTATCCATCACATCAGATGATATCAATAACAGTTTGTTATGACTTGTCATTAGTGCCGAACAAAAAGACAGATTATCGCACAGCGTGCGCTACCACGGGCATGCGTATGGTGGGGGTGACTTAAAAGCTTACGAACAAATGTGGATAGAAATCTGATTACTTGATAACCTTATATTAAGTTGATTTCAACCACGTTTTAATTCGTTCATAATTAAGGGAATACATACGAAAATAAAAAAGCATATGAATCCATAATTCACATTTACCCAGAACTCACAACCCTATCTAATTGGAAATCATAGTGACACGAGGGCTGCTCTGCGAGGGCGCGGCGACCCTAAAGTGGGCCGCTGCGTTTCCCAGGGCAAAGAAAAACGCGGCAGACCCGAGGCGACGACGTCCGGAGCCCGTTTCTGACATAAGCCTCTGACTGCAAGCCGTCAAAACCTGTCACCTGGGGGATCGCCGACGTCGGTGTCGACTGCACGCCAATCACGGCCATAACCAACAAACTGTGTCAGCTCCCAAAAAACGGCAGTTGGAAACTGACCATGGCCTCCCCCTCCTGCGGCTCAGGGCCCAACTCAGCCTTTATCCAAGATTATACAGGTCCACCCCCAGCACCGCTCGCGCCCCACTGACCCTCCCCGGGAGCGTGGTCAGGACCGGCCGTGTCCCCCGCCAGCTGGGTAACGCTCGCCGCTCCGGGCTGACAGAGGGGCGGGGGGGGGGGGGGTGAGGGGAAGGGTGCTGCACCGACTCCCAAACCACCGGGTACCGTTAGCGGTGCGTGCGCGGCGCCACACACGCCGCCGTCCGGTTCGACGGGTGCGTGTAACGCGGGGAACACCCATTCGGTGCGGGATGTTTGCTTCCGTCCACTTCTGTAATGCCAGTCTAACACCGGGCGCCCCTCCCCCTCCCCCTATCACGGCATGGTAAGGGCCGTCCTCTGCCCGGATCACCACGCCGTCTCGGGTCTCAGCACATCCTCAGTCTGGGCGCGGTGTATCGACACGGGACGCTGAACTACGCTCCAGCTGGTCCAGTGGTCACCGCATACCCTGCTCTGTCCACACATAGCCTCGCAGACACCGCCGCCGCCCGTGCGCAGGTACCGGCGGCGGTGACCCACTGCCCCGCGTCGCTGCGGCCGGCTGCTCGTCGGCCCATGAGCCGGCGCCTCCTCCGGTCCTGTGTTGTAATTCGCAGTGTCGTAACTGCCGCGCGTCAGGCGGGCCGGAGGGCATTCAAGGCGCCGCCCGGCCGGCCCCAGCATCCGCGCAACACCGCACGAGCAGCGCAGGTCGACCCGGGGCGCGGACCGCGGCGAAACGCAACGGCGATGCGTCAGGTGCGGCGCATTAGCGCGCCGTTAGCAAACCGGTCGCGAGATTGCAATGATTCAGCCGGCATCGTCAGTCGGGTCGGTGAGCAAACTAGTCCTGGGAGGCCCACGTCAATGACACAGCGGTGATACACCGCTGACACACCGGGTCCCAGACCGCGAACGAACCGTTAAATGCACCGGCATTTTACTTGTCCGGTCGGCAAAGCTAGGCAGACCTGTCCTGTAGCATGCGAATCGTGGCTTCCTAATTAATCGCGCATGCTTTGCCTCATTACGATTAGATCAATCTCAGACCATCCCGGCCACAAGCCGCACATTGCCAAAACATCTACGACCACACTCGACTAGGTGGTCACCCCGCCATCCCGCCAGTCATCGGCGCGCACGCATCGGCTGAGCTGGGTGGACAGTGCGATGCCTCGCCGTCCAGCCTGCCGCCGTCGCCATGGTTACGCCTCGCGTCCGTCCCAGCGTCGACGCCGGCAAGGCGAGGGTCTACAGGGACGGGCGGGCGGACGGGTGGTTCAGCCCGGCCGGCGCTCCCTCCCATCGTGCAGCCCCGCGCCCGTGCAGGGCACAAAGAGCCGGTGGCCGGCCTCTGGCCGCACTGTGATTTACGGTACAATCAATCTGGCGCTGAAGGCCGCCGGGTGGGATCAGCTGGCCGGCGGCGGCGGCGGCGGCGGCGGCGGAGGGGGCCCGCCCGGCGGCGGTGGCGGCGGGACAGGACCGCGGCGGGTGACGCACCGCCGCGGCATTCCCTGCCGCCCTTGACCGGCCCGGCAGTGGCGCTGCTGAGGCTCAGCTGGGCAGGCCGGGCGACGAGGACCTGCCCTGGTTCGGTCCGGGACGGCCGACTGGCCGCTCCGGCAGGCGCCGCTCCCCGGAGTCAGGCGACGTTCGCCGCCCACCGAAGAGGGGCCCACGACCGCAGGGGAAGCTGCTCTTCTCCTCGCAACAGCATCCCGTTTCCTTGCTCTCGCACCTTTTTACCCTCCCTCCTCCCCATTTACCCCGTAACTACCGTCTTCCCACCCGTCATACTTATCAGCCGGTCTCCAATTCCGCCTCTCCGCCCACCGCCCCACCCTTACCACCTCGCGGCTCCAGTCCCTCTCTTATCCACCTACAGTATCCATAGACTCTTTACCTACCCGTCTGAAGCACCCAATCACTAATCTTCCTTCCCCTAACGTAATTACGCACACTTAGCGCCCGCCCCCAACGTTCCAGCCCATCACCTCGCCAGCGGCACCGGGCTTCGGTCAGCGGCGTCCGTACGTGCTGTGCTGGCACGACATTGACACGGGGACGCTCGTGACGGACCACGGCCGGCCGGCCTGGTCATCCCCGCGCCCGCCGCCCCGTTCGCCGCCGGCTGCCTGGCAGCCGCCGCAGAGCCCGGCCCAGCTGCCCGACACGATGAGCTGCCAGCTGCCCTGCCAGAGAAGCAGCCAGACAAGCTTCCAGACTAGCAGACTAGCAGCCAATCTCGTGGGCCGTCCACGGAGCGGTGGCAGGGTGGCGAGCACGGCGACTGGGGGCTTGATGTTTTAAAGAAGGCGATGGGGTTGCCGTTGTGACAAATCAGTCATCCCACATAAGCCACTCAGGTGGCATGCAAATGGATGGCCTCCGTTACTGGAAATGTGCAAGTTAATAAGTGTTAGCAGCCTTCACTAAAACCGCAAGGTTCTGAATTTATCCGTAATTAAACCCGTTCAAAATCTCTAGAGCGGCCAGTGGCTTCCCGCACGAAGAACGATGGCGGTGCGGGAGCGCAGAACAGTTTAACGAATGGGAACGGAGCGCAGTTTAACGAATGGGAACGGAGCACAGTTTGAAGAATGGGAACGGAGTACAATTTAAAATTCAGAGCCGTTCAGCTTTGCACCTCTGGAATGACACCGGTGACAGGCAAGACGGCGTCGCTACTCCTCCAAGCTGGCCCGTCGGCCCGCCTCTCAGGCGGCCTCCCTGCCGAGCGCATCCGGCGTGGCTCAATGCCAGGTACTTCTGGTTACGCGCTGGCGTCTGCGATGGCCTCCGGTGAAGCATTAGCGGCTAATCCGCCGGCCAGTCAAGGCTCATCATGGTGGCTCGGATCGGCCGACGGGTTCAGGGTACACGCCATCAGCTTTAACTTAGGAGCGGCTCTAAACCAGGAGCCAGCCATGCAAACCACTCGGAATACGAGAGCTTTAACTTAGGAGCGGCTCTAAACCAGAAGCCAGCCATGCAAACCACTCGGAATACGAGTTGTACAAGAGTTAATAATGACGAAGATATGACCTTCACCGCAACGCCTTACAAAGAAGCTTCATTACCAGACGGCAGTCTCACTCAGTTAGCCGTCTAAACCCTGAAAGTTCGAACGGTGCAAGGTAAGTAATGAATTGCAAGGCGGTCAGACCTGGTGTTTAGGTTAACTCGTGACAGCAATTGCTCTGTTTAAGGTAATTTGTACCACTTATCATTGGTGGATAATTACGAAACACATTTCAGTCACACAAGCTATACGAAGCTGTACAAGACTGCAATGAGTAAGAGTCGGACTCAAGTTGAAAACATGCTAAGCGGACATTCATAAATGGCGCAAAATATCCTAGAATGGCATGCATTAAACTGCAGTCCGAGGACTTGCACATATAAGCTATCATGAAAAACTACTGAATTGCAAAATCCTACGCATAGCCAGTCGCTGTACAAATATGGGATGCACCTGCCTTGTGCTGCCATGTAAAAGGGCACATTGTTTAACTGTGCAAGACCGCTGCCTTTCACCACTCTGCAGTTTGGATCCCTCACGGAACTACTCAAGCCGCGGCGCCCGCAATCATCGCCCCACACAAACCCGCCAAGTACTCGAGAATCCCCATGGTTGGGCTGGCGGCATTCCCGAAGCCTCCACCCCTCACCATCGCCCGACGGCGCCCACCTCGACATTCAGCACGCCGGTGTCGACGCGCAGCCGGTCGGCGTTCACTGAGGGTAGCGGGCCGGCCGTCAGGTCGACGCTAGCGCCCCTAGCGGGCTCGACGCGCGGCTCCGAGCTAGGCTGCGGGCGCCCCGGCCGCGGCCGCTGCCGAGGCCGCGACGACTGCTCCCGGCTGGGCTGCTTCACCACCACCAGGTCGTCGTTGATGCCTGCCATGATGATGGGCGACTTCTTGCCGGCGGCCACCAGACGCTCGTACAGGCTGTTACCCTTGACGATCGTCCGCGGCGGGAAGAAGGACGCCGCCTGCGGTTCCGCCTGTGGGGAAGACGGGCGCGTCAGACGCGGCGGAGGCGGTCCGCGCGGCCGCGGGGGGGGGGGGGGGGGGCGGCGACAGCCTCCGGGCAGCGTGCGAGTCAGTCACAGACGCGGACGGCGAACAAAGAGCGCCGGCGACCGCAGGTAGGCCGGCTGATGGCGCCGCCAGAGGGACGCCGGGGCTGCCTGTCGCCGCGCAGGGTCACGCCTCCCATCACCGCGCCGCCAAGGTTCACCGCCGACGGCCGCTCGCCGCCGCCGGTCTCAGCCACTCAGGTGCGCCGCCCGCGTCACGTCCGCTCGAGCGTCACGTTCCCTGGGGCGTGCGCGCGGGGCGGCGTCAAGGGGGTGCAGCCGGCGAGACGGTGGGAGGCGGCGTGATGCGCTCGCTGAGGGCGGTGACACCGCCGAGGTGACTCCGAGGGGTCGTGCCGCGGCCAGACAAGAAATGAGGCGAGAGGGTGCTGGAGTTCGCCGACGAGGAGTAGAATGGGTGGTGTCGATGGGAACGGTAAGGTCGCGGGTAACAAGTCCAGTGAGCCCATCAACGACGTTAGGTGAACTATGCGAGGCATGCGGGCCTGGCACGGACCAGGACCCGTGGGAGGAGCGACTGCTGAAAGTAACAGAGTGGATAGCAGTGGAAACTTTCGGCGACATGTCACGTCCAAGCCCTAGTCATGTTCAGGTTACTCGGTGAAGACAGTGGCGGTCAAGGTGGCGCAAGCGTCTCACGGAGAAGGGTCGGGATTCCCGACAGAGAGCGCCAGCAGCTCGCGAGTGGCGACCATCACGAATCACGCCAACGCTTCTGAGCTCGCCGAAACAAATACGGCGACGAGCGGGCGCGCACAGTGCTCGTCTGCGGCTGCCGAGTAGAGAGGGAAGTGCGCCCGCGGCGGCCGCCACTGAAAGCAAACCCGATCCGGCCAAGGTCGACACGCTGATGTAACCTTTGGCTCGACTCGGGCGAGAGTCCCCGCCGCGGCCCGGAGCGCGTGTGCGGCGCTGCACTGGCGAGAGGTGGCCGAGGCTGCGCTGGGCTTCCGCGGCCATGGCAGCCCACTGACCCGCTTGTCGATGGGACCGGGCGCGCGAGACTGGCTGCTCGCGTTCCACATTGACACAGTCCAGACTCATGCCACATGCGAGGACACACATCCACATCTTCAGCTGGTAGACTGGGAGAGCTGAGAGCGGCAGCCTCGCCACAGCAGTAAGTAACGCCCGAGCAACGGCAGTTTTCACATACGGCCGCCCCGGTCGGCCAGACACTGACATCACACTCGGCGGGCTCATCACCACCGCGGCGCCGCCGACGCCGGCGGCATCCTGGCCTCGGCGACGGCGTCCCCGGTCCGTGACCTCCGCCCCGGTGCAGCGTGACCTCCACCCCTGGGCCGCGTGGCCTCCGCTCTCGCCGCGCGGCGACGGCCGGCAGGGCGGCCGCATGCCGCTCGCCGTAGTCAGCAGCGGCCGGCACTGCCCACGGCGTCGGACAGGCCCGCGCCGACCTGTCTAGTACAGAGCGGGCAGGTCGGCCTGGTCTGGGCAGTGCCTGGCGGGAAGTCGGAGGCTCTCCAGACACTCTAGGATCGCACCGGAGGCGTCGGAAGACCACGCCAGGTTGCTCCAATGGAACGTTCCTGAGGCGTTTAGAGTTGGGGGGGGGGGGGGACGTTCAAGAGAAAGTCGCACGGTGCGAGTGACACTTTGAACCCTCTGGCTGCGAGGTGCTCCATGAAGACTGGCAGACCCTCCAGAAAGCCTGGGCATCGCCTCATGCCTAAGGCGCCCGGGCGCATCAGAGTGGCGTCACAACGACCGCCCGACCCAGGCGCGGGCGAGTCAGGCAGCCACCCCGCGGATTTATAAGCATTGCCTGCTTCTGTCCGCTCAGCGGGGCCAGAGCTCGCTGATTGGATGGGCGGAGAGCCAATCACAGTCGATCGCAGCCCCACGGCACGCCATCTAGTGCAGCTGAAAGCGCGCGGTGCAGATCCACCCCAGCGACCCACATGTGTCAACAGGAGGGCGGCAGAACGCGGAGCAGGTAACACCGCCGCCCGGGGCCCCGACAGCGGACTAGTTACACAACGGCCGGGCGCCGACACGCCTCCAGCTGCTATGTCACGATTCGCTACAGCCGCCGCGGGACGCGACCGGGCGCCTCCTCTCACCGGCCGTCGCGTGGCGTGGTGTGGCTGTCATGACTGGGACGGGCTCGGTGTGGTGGGGGAGCCGACCGGGCCGGCGGCGCAGCTGATGGATGGCACGGCCCCCGTGGCGCCGCTGCGGAGGGCGGTGGTGGGCGCGACGCGCCGGCGCGATGAGCACAAACGCCACGTGGACCATGCAAGGTCGACAAGAGGACGTGGACGTGAAGTTGAGCGAGTGACAGCCACGCAAGGCCGACCGGGCAAAGGACGAGGATGACCGAGCTGTGTGAACGAGGACGAAGGCGTGAGGAAGGCGTCCCACAAACCAAGGCGGCGGCGCTTCGGGCCGGGGGGAAACACGCTCCCGCGGCCATAAAATCCGGCATTCGATCACGCGAAGGTAGCGGACCTGGATGCCAGCTTGCAGCATTCCCAAGGCCCGCCGCGGCCGCCGGCCTTGCCATGCGCCTCGTCATCGCTCCTCGTCATCACCGCCGGCCAGCAACGAGTTCCGCGCGCCGCCGCCGCAGCTGGGACGCGCGCCGGCCGACAAGCATTCACCCCGGATGGAAAGGGCGCCGCACCAGCTGACTGCGCGGTCACGTGGTCCGGCGGCGCCGACTCGAAGGCTCTCGGCTGCCTGGCTTCGGCCGAGTGTTGCGTGCCATGGGTGGGTGTCGGCGTATGCCAAACGACTTCACTGGGTCACGGTAGGGCTATTTCCAATTACGTTTTATCGCGAAGACTAACAGTATGTCGCACATTGGGCACAAGTGGAGAACGCTAAGAAAAGCCGATGTGACACAGCTACCAGGGTGATCACCTTTCAATGAGACACGTTACCATCAGGCTAATTCTGATGGAAGTTGTTGTGATCTGTGACCCACTTGCCATATCGTATTTTCCACCCATGACTTAGGGTGCGAGGGGGACAGTCTGTCAAGCTGAACGCTCCTATTACTTCAGGCAGAAGCCACACTACGAATTATGATGAGGATGCTTTTAGTTCAAAATGCTGTAGTCCAATACTCCGACTGGCTCCGGCTGGCGGGTCTCCCAGCGCGACAACCACGGGCGTTTCTAGACCACCTGATGCACTGCCGTTCGTCCCTGATCTATCCGGTACCGGCGACTGGGACAGCCACTCCCCGTCTGCCGAACACGCCCGAGGGCAGTGAGCCGCGCCCTGTGACGTCACAAGGGGCCGGCGAGCGCTGATCCCGCAGCAGGACGCGCTAACCCCGACCACAGTCTCGGACAGGGGCCTCGGCAGGACGCGCTGACCCCGACCGCGGTCTCCAGCCGCCGCCGGACAGGGGTCTCGGCGAGACGGGATAACAACGGACGGGTTGTGCCGAGCGGCGGCCTCGGAGCCGCATACGGGCGGCTGGAGCGACGCCCTCACGGGACGCCCGTGCTCGGCTCTGGAGCCCAGCCACGGCCGGGCAGAGCCTCGGCGGAAGTCGGAGCGGCCCCCGCGGCGACAGCCTCCCCTTTCCCCTAGCGACAGGACCCGACCCAAGCCGGTTCGGTGCTGATGATTCGGACTGACTCCTGACTCAGAAAGCTTCTCAAGGTGAGCTTCTCCGGCGAGGAGCACGCTAATTACGAGCGAACCATCGGACCGAGTGGGTTTTACTCGTGCAGTAATAAAACATCCGGCTTGAGCTGCCCGGCTCCAGCCAGTTATCACACTTTTAAAATATAATTTCTTCGCCACCAATTACCGCAGTTTCATGCGGTTTTATCGCCGAGAGCGATTCTTCGCAAATTGACGGTATATGTCCGGCACCGGCCGAGCCACAGGTGAGACAGAAGTCGACCGTGGCTGACAGAAATCACAGCTCACAGAAGCCCACACAGAAGCTGACCGTGACGCGACCAGTGCCGCCGTCTTCGGAACCAGTCCCGAGTACAGCTGCTGCGACCTGAGGCGGGACCGCGCCGTGGAAACCGCGCTGACGGCTGTGATCAGTACCCACCGAAATATGTTCACGTTCGCAATGCTTAGACCAGGCCACGCAAATTTTATGTTCATCGATTTCATCGAGAGAACACACGGACACGTTTAGAGCACGGCCGGCCAGAAGCATAGTGAACCAATTTCCCGGCAATGCGCATTGTGAAATAAGCGGACCAACGTGGGTAACACGAACGCAACGAGCGACCCCTTCCTTGCGAAACCCTCATGAAAGACGGACGTTTCAATGTAATGACTGGACCCGTCTGCATGAGATCCCAGACGGGCAAGACTCCGCTCAATTGGGCTTAGCTATCCCATACAGAATAGCGCTCGAGTCGAGCCATCGTTTCGCTCGTCTGCCATGCGCCACAGGGGGCTTTGCTGATGCGGGCAGCCGTGGAGACATTCGGCTCTCGGCATTCCAGCCCAGCCTGGTGATTAGACCGCATGGTGAGCCGCGGCTCTGCTGAGCTATTCCGTTAAGCTGCCGCCCCAACTGAACCGAGGGCCGCCGCGGTCAGAACGCCCACGCGGGCTGCCCAGCGACCTGCGGCTGCTGTGAGTGACCGCAGCCAGCCGCTGCCGCCCCGGCCAGGCGGTGGGGCCCGACCCAGCCGCGAACCGGACCGCTCCGAGCCGCGGCCAAGGTCACGCACACCCGGCCTCGAGACGCGAAAGGGGCTGACCTGTCGCCGTCGCCTCCAGTCGCCTGGCCACACTGTAGCTTACATGATCTGACCTGGAGCGACACGCGGCGGCGCTTGCATCAGACGCCTCCGCGGATGGCGCTGGCCTAGACGCCTGCCCAGTGCGGATGGCACTGGGCACGTGCGTTCGTCGCGCACCTTACGTTACGTGTCAATTTCCACTGCGGGGTG